ATGAAGAGTGGTATATAGATGATGATTATAAGTTTCCAGTTCTAGAAAACAGCTGTGCTCCAGGTAGCAAACACAACATTTGGATCATGAGTCAGCAAAACCAAGTTGGACCAGAACTGCTGAGTTCAGTGTAGTTGCTGATATCTCCCTGGGCAGGATGTTAGGCAGCAGAGAGGTGAGCTGCAACGCAGTGACAGCCGTCAGTAATGGATTATGGGTGGCGCTAGGAGCTGCTCCACCCTTTAGCAAAATACATATAGCTGATGGCCTGGATCCAACTGATGTGTCCCATTAGTGTAAATATTTCCACTTCCAAAAACTAGACTCTCCCCCTCTCCCCACTGCACCCTTCCTGACTTTGCTATGGAGGGTTGGGGAAACCCAGTATTCAGACTATCTTCTGAATATTTTGGCAGTAGCTTTACTTAGCAAATGGCATGGTAGGCTCTATTCTCCTATTATTCTTCCAGGGGTACTCTTTTAGAGTACAACAAACACTCCTTCTACCATTGCCAGTAACTGTATTAGGAAAATTAATTCCTCTATGTTCAGATTTTATTGGTTGAAAATAAGATGATGGGTGGGTTTTGTTTGTTGTTGTTTGTACATTTATTCTTGGCACAAGATGTGCAATGTCCAGAAGGCACTGTTGATCTTGATGGATAGTTTCAATGTTTATGGGAATTCATTTGCAAATACAAGTCAACGAATTCATAGGGATGTCCCTCGCGTTTTCTCCATCTTTTCTCAGCTCCTGTTGTGCTCCAAGATATCCTTCTGTCTCTTTTTGGTAGCTTAAAGGCACCAGTGCCTGGAAAGATGTAGGGGGGGGGGAGAGAGAGAGAGAGAGAGAGAGAGAGAGAGAGAGAGAGAGAGACCCCGGTCTGAAACAGGCTTATGCAGAAATCAGTCAGAGGCCACGAATCTGCAGTCCTATGTGCATCCATTTGAGCCATATTGAACTCAGTGGGGCTTACTTCTGAGTAAATATGTATAGGATGGAGCTGCCTGTGTGCTTAAGGTTACAATTTGGCTGCTCATTTCGGCCATGATTTCAAGGGGACTCATTATCCACATAATGCTTTTTTAGGATTCATTGTGAGTGAAGCTGAGACCCTTTAACAGAATGTTTGTTTGACAGGTCTTCAGAACAGCCAGGCTTTGCCTCTGTTGTTACTGCGATAAAACACTTCACTGCTGCCCCCATTCCAGGCATCTGCTGTCTGACGTGGTCACTTATCTCACTTCCTAATATTAGAGCCGGCCCTGTGCAAAGTGCCTGGCATTTTCCTAGATCTTGGATTAGTAGGTTATGCCAGAGGTAGCCCGTGAGGTGATCTTCAGATGTCGTTCGACTGCAACTCCCATCATTCCTCGGGATGCTGGCGGGGCCCGATGGGTGATGTAGTCCAATGGTACCCAGAGGGCACCACGTTGCCTACCCCTGAGCTATGTGATCCATCTGGGTGAGTGGCTATTAACTTCATTGCACAGTGAGCCAAAGAGTTAGCACAACTGCCCTGGAGAAAAACCACAAATTCTATTAGTGGGAGAGAACACAGTTTCCGCCCCCCGCCCTCTACAATCCTTCGGCTTGCCTCGCATGTAGGACTATCATGTTACATCAAATATATTTCGCTTTGGTCCAGCTATAAAACTAAGTGCACCATTTCAGCAAAGAGATGGCTTTGGATTTGTGTTGACTTTCAAGTCAAGCCAAACAGGCTTTTCATAAAAAAAGTGTGTGTGGGGGGGTGCCAGGGAGAGAGGGGAAGGGAGAGGAAAAAGAGAGGGGGGGGGAATGAAAAAGCCATCTGCTACTTTGTTTCCAGATAACAGAGGCAGCACGATGTCCGACTGAAAGATCATCCTGTTTGGTTATGTACAGTCCTAATTTGTCCTGTGATATCAATGAATCAGTGGAGAGTTGCTGAAGGGGGGAATCAAAGGCGGAATTAATCTCCCCTTGATAGCAGGAGTAATTTCAGAAGAGACCCGTTTTGCTGAATTATACATATCTATCTATCTATATATAAAAGAGCAGAGTTGGTGCGGCTCTTTGGATCAATATCACAGTCGCTGCACAAATACGGCGCGTGAAAAAGACCAGTGTCGCTCAATAGCCAATCAGAAATGGCATTAACAGAGTGCGGGTGGTGGGGGAGTCAATTCAATTGGCGTGTGTGTGTAAGGCCTGCACATAATAAGGGAAAGGGAAGGTGCACAGATTTGTATATGGCCTGGATGGGTAGTTAGTGATCCATGCTCAATTCCTTCTCTCCTCTCTGTTTGTAGGAAACTCTGCAAACTCTGCACACCCAATAACCCTTTTGGTAGCACAAAAATGCAGTTTTCTCCATCTGGAATTGTCCCTGCTGGTCCTCAACATGCTGCTTTAGATCTAGATGGCTTCTCATTTGAAAACCCTCCCGTTGACTAGGTTATCCACGCCTTAAGGTCCACAAATGACAAAAGTTTGGAGGTCCCAAGTCGCAAGGTGGTTAGATTGGTCTCAACTAGGGCCAGGGCCTTTTCAGTACTGGCCCCGACTTGGTGGAATGCTCTGTCACAAGAGACTAGGGCCCTGTGGGACTTGACATCTTTCCGCAGGGCCTGCAAGACAGAGCTGTTCCGCCTGGCCTTTGGTTTGGACTCAGTCTGACCCTTATGTTTCCCTCCCCTTATGGTTTTGATCTATGGGCTATTATTAAAATGAGGCTGCATTTTAAATTGTATTTTTAACCTGTATTTTAAATTGGTCCCCCCCTCCCCATTATGTTTTTATTGTAATTTTACTGGTGTTAGCTGCCCTGAGTTCGGCTCTGGCCGGGGAGGGTGGGGTATAAATAAAAAATTATTATTATTTTATTATTTTCATCCCTGAACATGCACCAAGTGGATGAAAATGAAAGAACTCCCATCAAGCCCAGCCAGCTTAGCCAGAGGTGTTGGGAACTACACTCCATCAATATCTGGAGGGACACAGGCTCCTCATCCCTAACTTATAGAATGCTATGAGAGCCAGTGTGGGAGAGTGGTTAGAGTGTCGGACTAGGAACTAGTAGACCGGGGTTAAAATCCTCACTGGGCTGTGAAGCTCACTAGGTGTGGCCTTGGGCCAGGTACTACCTCTCAGCTTACCTGTCATGGGGGGAGTTAAATGAGGAAGGGAGAGCCATGTATACCATCTCGAGCTCTTTGGAGGAAAAGTGGAATATAAATGTAATAAAATAGAAAGATAGATAAAAATAGCACCTTCTGTGATGTCATTACATGGAAAAAGAGCCCTGAATATAGAAAGCGAGCATGTCAGGGGGGAAAAATGAGCCTTGATCCTTCTCTCCTGTTGCTTTTCTACATGCAGGGAATTTTTGGGTCTGCAGCAGCATGCAATCAAGTGACACCCGCTCTCCTCTAGACTAAAATGGTCCCCTCTTGCGCAGGATTGTCCACCGCACTGAAAACTTAGCCAAAAATATGCCGTAGCTTCAACAACGTTCTGCAGAATTAGGCATGTATGAGATTTAGACGATAGCACCACCCCTGCCCCTAGGTCTACGTGTCATATGTAGGCAAAGCAATCTACTGACAGAGGAAAGGGCTATTGATGGCAGCTAGCCAAGATGGTTAAACCAGATGGTCAGGGGTCCCTTTACCTTTACCTTTAGCCAAGATGGCTAAGCTCTGCCTCTACAGTCAGATGCAGCAAGGCTTCTGAAACCCTGTTGCAGGTAGCCATTGGTGGAGAGAGGGCTCTGGCGTTCAAATGCTGCCTGTGGGCTTCCCTTTGGTTGGCAACTCTGAAAACAGGGTGCTCAACTAGATTGGCCATTGGCCTGATCCAAACAAACCCCCGTGTTGCAAAAGAGAACGTCAACAATGTTTAGGCAACACGATGACCATATACATACGTGGAGCTCATTTCCCACCACGCTGACGAAGATCTACGAAACAGCAGTCAATATCCGGAATCTCTTCTCAGTGTTGGACATTATATTTGCTGAATAAATAAAGCTCCACAGCTCATCTTTCATCGTACGAAGTTCGGTAAGGTAAAGGTAAAGGGACCCCTGACCATTAGGTCCAGTCGTGACCGACTCTGGGGTTGCGGCGCTCATCTCGCTTTATTGGCCGAGGAGCCGGCGTACAGCTTCAGGGTCATGTGGCCAGCATGACTAAGGCGCTTCTGGTGAATCAGAGCAGCGCACGGAAACGCCGTTTACCTTCCCGCCAGAGCGGTACCTATTTATCTACTTGCACTTTTACGTGCTTTCGAACTGCTAGGTTGGCAGGAGCAGGGACCGAGCAACTGGAGCTCACCCCGTCACGGGGATTCAAACTGCTGACCTTCTGATCGGCAAGTCCTAGGCTCTGTGGTTTAACCCACAGCGCCACCCACGTCCCTACAAAGTTCGGTACCTCGCTTCATTTAAAGATTTTCAGAGACTTGAGACTAAGATTTCATTTTGAACTTGTTATTGTTTGAAGGAATTCTATAAAGATTGTCTATTACGTATGTATATGATCATTGTGTTGCCTAAATATTGTTGACATTGGCCTGATTCAGCAGGCTCTTCTTATGGAAACCAATGGAGGGGAAAGGGCTCTTGGGCTTGGATTCTGCTTGTTCACTGTAAGAACAGGATGGTAGACAAAATGGGCAACATTTGGACTGATCCTCAGCAGGGTTTTCCTCGTAGTTCTTGCGTTCTTAGTTAACATTGGAGGGTGAAGGGGAAACCCTGACTATTTCCTGAAAATGTTTCAGATTATGGGAATCATAACGGATAGTGCTTGCACGATTGCGATTTGTTTACCAGCCAACCGTGCGTCCTTTAAAAATAAAAAAAAAATTCTCTCAAGCTAATATTTCTTATAAAGACACAACATGTGGAGTTTCCGATGGAACCCAACGGAGAGAGGTGCAATTAAGACTGTCGTGTAATAATGCATTCCTCTCCTTAGGCTCAGCATGAGGGTGGGCTTCAAAAAACGCAGTGGCCTAAAATGCTGAGCTTTGTATTTCTCTCTCTCTCTCTCCCCACCTCCCGTTTCTTCTTTTTCATTTTGCAAAAATTGGGGGTTGGGAGAGAGAGAGAGAGAAAGGTAAGGACACAGTTCGATGGCATTGTATGCTCTAGGAGCACAGATGGAAAAGAAAGCTGAAATGATATTTATACGAAAAAAGAGTGGTTTACAATATATAAAAACACATACACAACATAAGAACAAACAACACAACCCACACCCCAGTTTAAAAGGCCATAGATTGTTTAATGAGCCAAAGGCCTGAGAGAAGAGGAGTGTGTTTGCTTGGTGCCTAAAGATATGTAACAAAAGTGCCATGTGAGCCCCCCTGGGGAGAGCATCCCACAAGTGGGGAGCCACTGCAGAAAAGGCCCCGTCTCATATTGCTACCGACCAGACCTCTCATGGAGGGGGCACATGAAGAAGGTCCTCAGAAGATGATTGCAAGGTCTGAGTCCGTTCGTATTGAGAGAGGCCGTCCTTAAGGTACTGTGGTCCTGAGCCATTTAAGGCACTATAGGTCAAAACCAGCCTTTTGAATTGGGCCTGGAAACTGGCAGCCAGTGCAGTTGGGCCAGGATTGGTATTATATGTTCAAACCACCTTCCCTTGGTGAGTATCCTGGTCGCTGAAGTTTGCACCAGCTGAAGTTTCCAAACCAGAGCACAGAGAACAGAGGTTAGGCTACCCCTGCCCAGATAGCGTGGGCTTCAAGAATGCAATGGCTTTGTACTTTACCTGCCTGCATCCGTATAAGGTCCAAACCACCTGGCCATCTCAAGATGCTTCTACCTGAACAGGCCAGAGTCGCACTCGGAGAGAGGACTGGAATCCTGTTGTCTCTCACCTCCCCTCATCCCATATATCCGTGCCTATTTATTGTACTTTGCAACTGGTGTGTACAGTTGGATAAACAGTTTAACTATTCATGAGCGTTTTTATGGAATGGAAAACGAAACAGAAGTGCACCCAAATGGATAATGCATCTTGCTCCTCCTGTGCTCGGGGGGGGGGCAGCGGGTGGGCGCGTGGGTGGGAAAAAAACCTGACAAGGACCAGCCATTCAAGGCTATCAGTGCCTCTGTGACGTGCTAGGGGGTAAGGGAGCGCATGAATCATCGGTGTAGCATGCTTCACCTGTTTTGTTGCTAGCTTTATGATTTCATGCTGCCTTAAGCATTATGATTTTGTGATTGAACTGTCCGTTTTCTGCCTGGGCGCTGTAATAAGATGACAGCGAGAAAAGCCCCCACCCCACCCCACCCCCCCACCCCTGGCTTGCAGCAGATTTTGAATATATCAACATTCAGTTCCTGAGTCCGTGGCAATGAAAGATGCCATAGTTCCACCACCCAAAGCGTGTTGCCAACTCTGCCTCTTTATGCAGACACCTGGCCTCATCTCAGGAACAATGAAAGCTGCCTTATTCTGAGTATACCCATTGGCTCACCTTTCCCAATAGTGTCTGCACTGACTGGCAACAGCTCTCCAGGATTTCAGACCAGTGTTCTCTCCCAGCGCTGCTTGGAGAAGCCAGAGATTGAACCCAGGGCCTTAGGAACCTAGGAAAGTGCCTTACCCTTGTCCCATCTGGTTCAGTATTGCCTACACTGACTGGCAGCAGCTCCCCAAGGTTTAGGTTGGAGTACCTCACAGCCCTCCCTGGCGAAGCTTCTGCATGCCAAGCAGACAGCTGCCACTGAGTTTACGACCCTTCCCTTGGTGGTGGTGGTGAGGCTAGAGCCTCATCTGGTGCAGTGTGTCAGTTACACACAGCTCCCCCCCCCCACAAAGCACCTGGGCAGCAGGTAAAAACAAAAAGGGCAGCATTGGTGGGAGGGGTGGGGGTGATCAGTGGAGCAGTCAAGGTAATGGGTGCAGGAGAAAGGAGGCTGGCCAGGGAAGGGGAGAGCAACCAGCCTACTACAGTGCTCCAGCACAGGGATAGTCAACAGGCTGCTCTCCTGATGCTGTTGAACTCCCACCTGTCCCCCTGCCCGCATGGTCAAGGGCCAGGAATGAGAGGAGTTGCAGTCCCCAAACATCTGGAGGGCAGGCACCCTGTCGGCTACCCCTGCCCAAAAGCGCACCTGGCAACAGGTTGGAAGACCCTCTTGGGCTCAACCTGCCTCCCCCTGCCTGTTACCCCTTGTACTACTACTCCCAATGGCCCCAGCATCGTGGCTCTGGGGGTGATGGGAGTCGTTGTCAGGAACATTGAGAAGGTCAGGTGACAGCAGTAGGTGGCTGCTCATCTCCACGGCTGAATGCTTGCAAGATATGGAAGAGGAAATGCAGGTGACAGACGGTGAGCATTTTTGCAAGGCCCACCATGTGGCAATATTTGAGAACATCAGAAGAGCGTGCCGGATCAGGCCAATGGCCCATCTCATCCTGCTTCAGGTTCTCACAGTGGCCAGGCAGATGCCCATGGGAAACCAGCAAGCAGGATTCGAGCACCAGAGCCTTCTCCTCTCCTGTGGTTTCCAGCAGCTGGCATTCAGAAGCATAACTAACCATGATGGTTAATAGCCATTGAGAGCTCTCGCTTCCATGAATTTGTCTAATTCTTTTCTTTTAAAGCCTTTCAAGCTGCTGGACATCGCTGTCTGCTGGGGGAGAGGGTTCCATAGTTTGACTATTACTCCTCTGCCTCCTCTACCTATATTTTGACCTGGTCTCGGACCAAAGCTTTGCAGTCATTTAAGTCCTCCAGATTCATGCGATGATGGCGGCTGCCTCTTGATTGCGAATCCCTGAGCTACAGAAGTACCGATATAATAATTATGCTTTGATATAAGCAACATCCTCCGTACAGGTCCTCTTCTGGATGATTGAAATAGAAATGGGGAGATGATGCTGGAAGTGGAGGTGGCGGGTGGGGGCGGGGGCAGGTAAGAATTGAGTGAAAGGAGGCAAGACAAAAGAAACAGGAGCCACTTCCAGCCATCTGCAAGAAAGATGATCTCTCATCCAGGCTGCTTTTTTGCCGAATAAAACTTGATGCGATCAGGTCACTGCGTGGCAAAGCAGGTGTGCGAAGGCGCTGCAGTCTTCATCATTATGGAACTCAAACATTCTTGAACCATTTTATTCCGCCCTGTTCATATTTATCTTCCCACACACCCCCTTCAATGGGCACCACATTTGTATTGATAAATTGTAGGGATCAGGAGATGTATTGATGGGAAGGAGACAGTTCAAAATGCAGAAAGCTGTGGCTTTGCATATCATTACACCTAGCTTGCTCTTTTGCCTCTCGAAATGCTGTCGATTTGGGCATTATTGCTATTCAGGCTGATAAATGACAGTAATTGTCCTTAAGTTGAAGAGCTGCCTTTAATGTGCTGATTTGCTTGGGAATTCTGAGCACCAGGGTTAAACTAGTGCTTGGCTGGTTCGAACAAAATGGTCTTTTCCAGCTCAGAATAGATACTTAATTAAATTACTTTTCATGCATTCCGTAGCCAGGCACTTGTGGGGGGTGGGAGGAAGAGGAAAAAAAAAATCATAACAAGATCAGGGAATTCAGAACAGTTCATGAGAAGGCTATGATCAGGCTTCCCTCCTCCCGTGTCAAAGCCTCTCCCCAAGCCGATGCAGACAGAATATCTACATCTACACGGGCATGTGTGAATGTATGCGTGTGCTCGTGTGTCTGTTTTCATTTAACAGCTCTATCGTGTAAGAAATAAAAGGGGATGCTGAATTAAAAATATTGATTGAATATACGTTCTCTGCTGTTGTTTTCCTTGTGGGAAGTTGCCTCTGCATCTAAGGACCCATTCCCACATTCAGAAATCCAGGCAAGTATAATCAGAATCAGAAGAATCTTTATTTGCATCGGCCACTAGCCACAGCAATAAAACAGAGAACACAGTTGTGGAATTGTGCCCTCCTCGACTCGTACCTCGTTCAAGAACATAAGAAGAGCCTTCTGGAGCAGGGCAATGGCCCGTCTAGTCCAGCATCCTGTTCTCACAGGGGCCAATCAGATGCCTCCATGGGAAAGCTGCAGTCAGGATTCGAGCAGAAAAGCACTTTCCCTTCCTGTGGTTTGCAGCAGCTGATCTTCAGAAGCATTTACTGCCACCTTCCTGAATAGTAGCCACTGGCTAGTAAGCATCTCTTAGCCTAACCTGCACTGCAGAAGAACATAAGTTGAGTCTGCCTATCTAGTCCAGCATCCTGTTCTCACAGTGGCTCACAGCAACTCTCCCCCAACCCTGTGGTTTCTAGCAACTGGTATTCAGAAGCATCGCTGCCCCTAACTGCAAAGCATAGTCACCCTGGCTAGTAGTTATTGATAGACCTTCGCTCCATGAATTTGTCTAATCCTCATCTAAAGGCATGTAAGTTGGTGGCCTTCACCACCTGCTGTGTGTGGAGTTCCACAGTCCATAGGGTTTGCAGCAATCGCTACATGGATGCCTGCACAGAGATTCCCTACAATTATTCCCTATTACATTGAGTGTGGGTAGCAGTGAGGAGGAGGCAGCAGACCCATTCAAAGATGGAGCTGACATCACCTGTGCTATGTCGAATCCTTCTGGATTAGATAGAGGGCACAACCCCTCTTCATTTCTGTCCAGGTGGATCTTTGAAACTAGGATTGGGAACAGAGGTGAGTTGAATGGCTTGGGGCATGTGGGCCGCCAACAGGTCTGTAGCCAGGAATTTTGCACTGGGGGTTGGGGGGGGGAGAAGAAGCTGAGAGTTTGTTGGTGAGTTGGAGTGGGGATCAACACAGAAGAGGCAGAGTGCAAATGCAGGTAGTCTAGCATATTAAAATGCATTTGTACAGTGGTACCTCGGGTTACAGACGCTTCAGGTTACAGACTCTGCTAACCCAGAAATAGTACCTCAGGTTAAGAACTTCGCTTCAGGATGAGAACAGAAATCGTGCTCCAGTGGTGCGGTGGCAGCGGGAGGCCCCATTAGCTAAAGTGGTACCTCAGGTTAAGAACAGTTTCAGGTTAAGAACGGACCTCCAGAACGAATTAAGTTCTTAACCTGAGGTACTACTGTATTTGCATATTTGCATATTTGAATTAAGAACAAATATATGAAATACCGTATTTTTCGCCACTTTTCCCCCTCCAA